TTACTTCAAGTATCACTGAATCAATTTTACTTAACCAATGTCAACAGTCAAATTCCCCCAAAGAGAGCCAACAATATATTCCTGTTTGTCCTCAAACATGTGCATTGATTTCTAATTTGTCAGTATAAGATAAGGCATTTCACACATCCAAAATCAATGGTCATGTGAACAGGGAGGGTCATGGTGCTGTGTGTTTCCCACAGCAGGGGAGAGGATTTCTAAATACCCCACTGAACGCTTTTGTCTTCATGGGAAATGTTGGCATCACCAAATATTCCATCACTATTACTTTTTCCAGGTCCTACAAAGCAAGGTACAGTATGTTGGGTTGCATATACTCACTGTTCTCACTGGATTGGTTGTACTTGATGAGGCATGTGGGATGTGGGATGTCACCTCTATGAGCTGGACAAACATAGCATGCAAAACACTGGATTCTTGTTCTTGTATTTGCTCTTTTGTCCTGACTAAACAATGAGAACAAGTCGGCATTGGTTCATATTGGAAATTCTGTCAATTATTTTTCAAATTATAGCAACTTACTATAAGATAATAGCCTTATAGAGCAGACTGAAGGTAAGTTGTGTCACTTTGTAGGATAAAATAGTGCATAAAGTCTGTGGAGATGGAATAAAACTAAAGAAGTGAAAGGGCATATGAGGTTAAGAAGAAAGTCCCTAGCTGACCTGCAGGCATCTCAGCTCACATAAAGAACCCTCTAGTGTGTTTCTTTACTCGAGTTCATGAAAATTTTATCACCATTTCTACCAGCAACAGGAAACACAAAGCATGCATTCACACTGGACATTATTCTGTACTTTTTGGAACATTAGCACATCTTTAAACACACTTCCTGAGGGGTTGTCAGTCAATGGACTATGTAGCCATTCATTCATGGCGTCTCTTATGATTATAAGGGATGGGAGGAAGGATTCATCTGAGATTAATTAACTGTTTACCAGTTGACCAAACAAAGCATTAGTGTGTAAAAAGTGAATAGGCAGGCTACAAATCAGCTTGGGTTTTGGGGGGATTTCTGATGTAACACAAAAGTTGCCACAAAGTAACAGAGTGCTACCTAGTGTGACATATAAACTGATGTGCAAAATTGTGCATACCTTTCACCCCATAATGAGATTTCTTGGTTAGCCTCATCAAAATAAACATGTATTTATCTTAATACTGAATTTGACCTCAAACCTGTAGGCATAACAATTCAAATGCTGTTTCTAGAGGATGGACTGCACGATTTCCTTCTCTCTCAAGACTATTTTAAAATAAAGCCAACTATGAATATAGATTATTCAGAGAGAACAACTCTTAGCAAAGAACAGATAATTTGGTAAAAAAGAGTTGACGGCAGGCTGCCTCCACCAAAGTAAACTTTAAATCCTTCAGTCAAGGTGAATAACTCCCATGGTGAGAATGTGGACAATAGTATTATGCTGAGGCTGAACAGCACCATACAATGTTTACAATAAAGTTTGGAGAGTTGCCTGGCAGCAGAATGTACACAATGAACTAGCCCAGTGGCGTTGCTCTTTATGTCAGTGTCAGGCCGTGAAAGAACTGCCATTGTACACATATGACTCTCATTCTCGGGACATTTGCCACAAGCAAAACGAGGGCCAAGCTGCACAACAAAAACCTTTCCCACTGCTGTCAAGTATTTCCTCTCCTATATTAGAAAGTGTTCAGAAAAGTGTCGAATGCGTGTCAAAATGTCAGCAAGAAATATGAATCAAAAACCTCCTTTTACAAACCCCTGTATGTGAGAACAATTTTTAAAAGCTAACATTGAAATAGAAGACTTTTATTTGTCCTTATAACTAACCAAAATGATGAATACAGTATTGAAATGCAATGGACGGAGCAAATGATCACACTGTTGTAAATCAAACAAAGATTACCATATGGTGAGGGATTCCAAATGATCCTGTAATAAAGACTATGAAAGCCCATCTACTCATTCCAAACCTAACCATAATCTATAATTTATCTCTTAGTCATTCAAAAAAGCATCCTCAGTTGTTCAATATTACACTGGACCAGTAAAGTGGCTCATTCATTTTTGAATAACTGAGCAAGGCTGTCATGAACACCGCCCCCACAATTAAAGACCAGAGTTGTGAATGTGGCATTTTTGTCGGTGACACACACACACTCACACACACACAGGCACTTACAGCTCTTTTTTGTGGGTAGTTTACAGTCAAGAGTCAGGGGAAGTGAATGTGCTGCGACCAAAGACCCCAACCCAAACCTTCCATGCAGACAGGAAGGCACAGAGCTGTAACTAAAAGCTTCCTGGAGCTACTAAAACTCTGTGCAACACCGATTGAGGCGGTGCCACTTCTCAGGAATCTAACACACAGAGGAAGTGAGGAGAAATGTCTGCCTTTCACAGAATGAGCTGTGAGACTGTAATTGCTGTTATTATTTGTGAGAACAAAACAGAGAGAAACACCTTCTTCATATACCTCAGAGTTGTTTGCAAGTAGAGACTGTTTTCATTAGTTCAGGGAAGAGTGAGAACAAGTAGCACAATGTCCTAAAATAACCTCACTCTCTTATTTCCCTTGGAAATACCCAGTGTGTGTGTGTGTGTGTGTGTGTGTGTGTGTGTGCGTGTGTGTGCGTGTGTGTATGTGTGTGAGAGAGAGAGAGAGCTTGTGTCTCTGTGTGTCTGTAGGTTTGTGTCTTAGTGATCTTGTAATCTTTGCATCTATGCATGTTTGTGCCTGTTTGAGTGATTATGTATATGCAAGTTAACCCTGCATCTATAATGAAAGGAGATCTCCTTCTGGGGAACGGCATGCTCTCTGGATATCTGTTTGTTCCTCCATTGCCAAAGGCTGCCCTTCATGTGAAACAACCTGAGGACAACCTTGAGGTGATTTAGTGGTATTTTGTACTGTAGGCTTTGCATTTAAATGAGATATCCATTCCAGGTCAGTTTTGTAATATGGAAATTGTTTAATTATAGATAAACCCTCATAATGATTCTAAGACAACATAACATTAATTCTTAGATACATGTGCAGGTTTATTTAGGTATTATTATAGTGCTACACAAATTTAGGGATCAGAGATTACCTTCTCTTTCACTGTTTCATAGAAGGTTGTGTGTCCCCCCCCCCTTTAGTACCATGAGTAGAGTGCTGAATCAGACCTCCCTGTCTTTACTCATGCGGACCCGTTGACTCCTGCTGGTCTGGTGAACTTCTCTACATGCTCTACTGGTGACCTTTGCTTTCATTTAGGAATGACGTATCACAAATCACACCTATGTGTACACATTGTGCCAGTGCCTTAAATAAATGGCCACTGGAGTCATAGTGGGCTCTAGAGGATCATTTCAGTGAATACTAAACTTAAGACACCCAATTTTTTCATTTTAAAGCTAAGCAGAGCCATAATTAGAGGGTCTCTCACCTATGTGCTTTTTTCCAGATTACCACAGTGCACATGTGGGTCAGTGAGTTAGTGAAAGAGAATTTAGGTCATTAACCATGTAGATTATTTTTTTATTTGGATCGTATCTATCTTATTTGTTCAAGCTAACAGTGGTGACACAAAACAATTGCTATCAGCAACTGCTAACTAAAATCAGGAAGACCAGAGGATGTTTAGAAATGGTTTAGGGAGACTATAAAGGCTGAACAAGACCGCAGTTATAGCATGGTGCTTGTACCTTGGTGAAGGTCACCATTAATTCACATTTTCTGCCACCAGTGTTGGTTTTCCAATCAGCAGGTGACAGTGGTGGGTAGATTGCCTTTGATTTATAGCCCAGCCTGCCCTTCTTGTCTGCCCCCCCCCCCACACACACACACATACACACATACACACATGTGCACAAACACATACACACACCACATTAGGAGGGTACCTCACACAGTCCATAACAGATGTACAAAACCTAATCCTTAAAGGGCCAGATCACTGAAATAATGGAAAGCATATTTTCCCAATGTCCAATGCAGATAGTCTATTTATTTTTTTCAGATTTGCAATATCTACCAGATTTATTCTGGATAATCTGCAAAAATCACAGCTTTTAGAATTATATAGAACACTCATTGGTAAAAGCAAGAAAATACTATTTATTTATCTTTAGTGGAGCAGTTTCTAATTTCCCCTAGCAAGTGAAAATGCATTAATCTCCATTGTAATGAGGTAGTGGCAGAAGTTAAAGGGGAGGATAGCTTTAAGTAAGTTTAAAAAACGGCAAATGAAATCAAAAGTATCTGCATGAGTGCATACCATTCATTAAGTTGAGAAAAAATGTTGTTTTGTAATTTGGGTGGACTGATCCTTTGCTCTTATGGCAAACCATTTCACTAATCGTCGACATAATTTAGCAATTAGATTTTTTAAAAACGTCAAATTGATCAGAATGTTTTATGGCTGTTCTGTGTGACCTAATTTATAGTGTATTTTTATTACAGCGTCTCTTAGAATAGGCTATGTAAATCAGCGATCATTTTCAGGTTTCATTAAAACCACATCAATATAGCCTATATCATGGCCACCGGAGCTCGTATTGATGATCGGTAGACTACTGCTTAGATCCGATCTAAATGGACAGCCCTTAATAATGATCATTATGCCTAATCATAGAACTTGATTTTACTACTTTAGTTTATTTTTTATTCTCCGTAGGTTGTGCGAGTTTAACGCAGAAATACACTGAAACTTGTCAGAACATCACATACGCAACCGCACGGTGGAATGCTTGGTATGCTTCCTTTAATACATCAACAACATCAGAGGTGGACACGGTGTGTTTATGTCATGTCTTCAGGTAAGAAGATCAGTGTAGATAGTCATAAATGCTGGGGCGCATTTTGGTGGATAAGAAAAGATAAACTTCTAAATATTCATCAGAGCAAACAAAGGTAAATTGTTATGTATTTTGGTAACGCTGTTAAAAGGTCACCCCTACACCAGAGGGTGAAGTGGTTTCTCCCACCGTGGCAGCGTCTGTCCTGCGCAGCGCTGACTGCAAATCAATGAAGCCAGTCAAACAAACGGGGCTGGGCAATCGAAGTTGGGACAATTTACGGGGGTTTCTGTTGCCGGATAGTCGACGATAATAAGGACATGTATACATCTAATATGTATAGAATGCTATTTTTGTGTCCTTTATTGGAGTAAAGACGATATACACGTCAAAGTATTTTCTACTTATACGAGGAGTTTGATGTATTCCGCTCGTAAATTGTATCTTAACTGAAAAAAGCTACCCTCCCTATTCGAACTGAGGATGATTTTTGCTAATACTGGAAACCCACTAAGGACTCCGTATCGTAAACAGGTAAATACGTTAATATTTATCAAAGCCCAGCCTTAAGACATAATGTCCACAAAGATGACTTCATGGACGGTCTACTTGACAGCAGCTCACAGCCTAAATAAACTTGTAACTTACATAACGTTAGCCGACGGTCTAACAGAAAGAAAACTTTACTTTTGGATGTAAGTTACACTTACCTTATGGCATTTGAAATTGCAGTGTTGTGTGTGATAAAAGATTCCGATAGGCCACTTATGCACAATGGGAATACCTGCTGTTCGGCTATGGTCCAGGTCCGATACTGCTGGAGAGATACAGGCCTGTGACTTTAGTTGATGCTTTATGTAATGGTTAGCCATACTCCCCACATATAGCTAGTAGTAGCCTAACCTCTTCCAATTGCATCATTCGTTACATATTTTGGATTATAAATGAAGTGCGCATGAGCTGTCAATGAACATCATAAACTCAAACAAAGAGAACTTTGCATTTTCCATAGTATATATTCTTGTTTAGTTAGGACCAGTGAACAGTTAGGGTGGCTTCTTCTTTATTAGTCTCACTTTCAGTGATATAAGCCATAGGTTACCTAAAATACTATAATCCATACATCATATTTGTTTCTCTGTATTGCACAGAAGTCCACTAATGCATTCACTTTGTCCCAGTTACATTTAGATTTTGAAACTCCCTTTAGCCAAATAATTTGAATAAGCATATTTACTCTGTCATGCTCATGCTGTTATCCTGTGGCTAGAGCTCCATGGGCGAGGCCTGTTACTGGAAGCCCTGTGTATTTCCAGCTCGGATATGAAGGGCTCTGTTGGTCTGGAGCTGGCTGATAAGGCGCTGTCCTCTCCCCATCACAGTGTGTCTCACAATGTTGCATCTGAGTGGGCAGGCAAATGTATGAAAACAAAATTCCCTTTCAGTCCCACAGAAAAGGGAAGTTGCACTCACCTTAAGCCCAGATGAAAATGGAGCTCGGGGCGTTGTGGCAGGCATTCTCTTTAAAGACTGGCTTGTCTCGTGTGTTACTATATAACTATTACTTGAATATACGTAATGCTTGTCTTATTTTTTAGTCATTATTCGGGGTGTTATTTAACACATTTACAGCTCGCAAATGCATTTGTTACTGTGATGACAATGGCTGTCAAAGGTTTGTTAAATACAAATGCAATATGTTGTTAACTATGTGTAAACTATGTTCATATCTAACTCCATTGATTTCCCACATTTGGAAAAAAATGTGTCATTATAAAGATATTAGTATTTAAATGTAGAGCTGAATGATTTGATCTCCATAGCATCTGCCCAAAGTTCTTGCCTAAAACCTAACAACCCAACTCAAGTAAACAGTGAATAGCCTGAGCTTTACATTTTCTTAAGGGTATGTTTCATTATCCAGCATTTACCATTCAAGATCATTTGTGTCTTGTGTTTGGATGAAAACCCCTATGAAGATATAGAGATACACTTTCCATTTTAAAGAGGTGCAGTACCTTTAAGACTGAACTAGTAAGATGACACAGTACCTGCCACTATAACTTTGGCACAGCAGAGAGGAAGTTTTTCACATTTGGTGCCAAACTGAGTTTTATGTGTAACTTGGGAAGTACTTCCTGTTTCTTTGGTAATGCGTTTGCTGACGTCACAGTAGTCTAATCTTTGATCCCTGTTTCCTGGTAATAACAACAATCTGGAAAATTTAGGGCTAGTCATGAGAGCAACTGTGACGTATTTCACATTTGATATTGTTCAGTCTGTTGATGATTACTGTTGGGGGTTTCCAAGAATTGCCAAAGATTTCTTGACTAGTATACTCTTCTGTTCATGTAGCAACACTAGCAACATTATTTGCTGTCGTCTTTGAGGCAGCTACTAAAAAGAGAGGCCATACCAATAATAATAATTTTGTTTGCACCATACGCTGAAAGCACGTTCATAATTTTTACTTTGTGACACAGACCATGCTAAACAGAGCAGTTAACTGGCAGAAGGTGGAAGAAATTCAGACCTTTGCCACCAACAAATAGCAAATAGTAGGTCAAACCAATGTGAGGCAGTCAAACAGTCGGTCACAAGAGAAGATCCTCTTGGCTGACGGCCAGACTTGGGTTGCTCAATCCTGTCACCACTTCATGCTTGGGATTCCATCAGCTTCCTCTCAGCTTGGGGGGTTGGGGGTTGGAGGAAGGTAGTGGTTAGTCAGTCTCGGATAGTAAGGAAGAAGCCAAATCCCTGAAGGAGACAGCTCTCTCAGACTAGGACATCTGTATCTTGTAAACATCTTGTAAACAGAAAGCCCAAAGTTGCTCAATCACTCAAGGATTTTTGCTCGCCCCCCCTTTTGCTTGGACAGGCCCTCTGCAGCTATTATAAGCAGTACTAAGACTTAGAAAATGAACCAAAACTGAATAGCATCACATGTGAAAATCACAGTGCCAGATGTTTGACTGGGTAAATAACATGGTAGAGCAAAAAGGAGGGTACATTCTTAGCAGTCATTTATTTTCTTGACTAATAGGGAAAAGTAGATGATATACTTTATTAAAAAAAGTTTTAAGAAAAGATACACAGTCAAACCTGAAGTCGTTCAAACAGTTCTGAAAATACACAGTAACTAAAACTACTCATTAATGAGAGAGATGTGGTTAGGATTTGTGGTGTTACACCAGAAATTATTGTTGTTATTGACCTGCAAATAGTTTATTTGACACCCCAAGGCAGTGTGACATCACTGATGTCAGAACTACAGGCCCCTGTGGACCCTGATTGTGCTGACTGTGAAGGTGTGATGGAGATTGTCCAGCAGATATAGATGGATCACTGCTTTGCAACACATTAATCCTCACACTGGACAGAAACACACATGATACTAATGATGGAGTATCCAGACGGTTAATCTCTTCCCCCCCTGATGACTATGTGTGAGTTACTTGGTGAGGACAAACAGCACACAACAGACTGATTTGAAGAAATGTCAAGCAAAAAGGGTCAGTCATCATATTTCAATATAGCTCACTCACTCAAATATTAATTAGTGGTCGACGGATATAGGTTTTTCAGTGGCCGATGCTGATATTTAGAGAGCAGGGCGGTCGATATGCAGATATAAAAAAAAAAAAGCAAAGTCATATATAATTTCATCATTCCATTTAGAGCACAATCTAATATACATTGTTATCTTAGCAGGTATTTTATTAATTAATAAAGGTATTTTTTATTAATCAAGGAAATATAAAAATACATAGGGTTATGCTGTAGATTTTAAGACATGACTTGTGTTTAGGGGAGATTGGGGTGCAGTTTGCCAGTAATGATTTCAGATTAATTTGTCAGCCTTTGTGAGTGCAGGTTTCCAGTGTCGATTATCTCAAAAAGCCAAACATTGGACAACCGATATTAATTGGTCTATCACTAATATTAATATGAATATTTTGTAAGCAAATAAAAAAATACAATGAGGCCAAATAAATGCAGACATTTTGCAGCAAGTTGTTGTTCTGTCCTGACTTTGGATAAGGATGATTTGCACTTGAAAGGGTTCAGTTGAAATTACATTCTCCCTGACAATTATCACCTGACTGCGCAGTTCCCCTCAGCTCTAAGGGGTTCTAGTTTCTCTTAACATATTCATAGTCACACGGTAGAGAGTTAAACTCCTGAGCATAATATTAAATAAATGTTTTGGGAAAATATGGATTTGTTATCATTCACAATTTCACACATTACAATTATATGGGAGGGCCGTAAACAGTTTTATTTAATTACCACCCTGCCTGAACTTCAATTCAACCTAGTTCTTCTGTGTCTCCTTGCCTTTTCCAGCCGCCTGTTGGCCCATCGTCGCACCCCATGGCTCCACCCAGCCCTAGCACCAACAGCAGCACCAACAACAGCAGCAGCAGCAGCTGTGCAGGCTGGGATCAGCTCAGCAAAACAAACCTCTACATCCGAGGCCTGTCCCCTTCAACCACAGACCATGATCTGGTCAAGCTCTGTCAGCCGTGAGTACCACACTTCCTCTCATCATTATCTGCTATTGATCAGCCATTGATTTTTTGGCCTACTTAGTGTCTAGTTTAGATTTGCAGAGGCAGTCCCGTTTTCACATGCATTTATTAAAATACAAATTAGGTGTGAAAAAGTAAAAAGAAAGATGTAAATATGCCATGTACAACTGCACTTGTCTTTGTTGTAATTTGTTTTAGTAAATTTTATTCCTTTCTAATAAGCTGGCTTTCAATGACAAAGTAAGCTCTACAGGTCTCTTTAAACATCTTCCAGGAAAGGATTTAAGATTTAATCAGCTTTTTGTAAACAGATCAAGTAGTTTTTGACCATCCAGAGAGCGTGGTGAGACACGTATGGATTCCTATTTGTGTATTTGAGATTTTAACAAATGCAGCAGTATTGCAGTTTTACATTTGAATGTGACATGAAAAATGGTCTTGAAGACCACTCAAGGACAGAGCGTAGATGATGTGCTACTTGACAGCATGTGGGGCGCAGCAGCATATATCATGCGTGAGGATAAAGGAGAGATACTGTCAGTACCAGGCTCATCCACATTTCTCTTTGTGTGCTGAGTGCTTTATATTTACCAACCAGGGAGACCACCCTGGTGCCTCATTGATTTTATTTGTTTTTTTTCTGAGTCTCCATCTTCACAATGTGATACTGACTTTCCAACACAAAGCTGCCAATTCAGTCTTTGGCTTTTTAGAAATAGTTTATGTATTGAAATTCTCAGCGGTGACAAACATGTATTGAGGATTTAAGCGGGAGCAGTTTAGATTTTAGAGTTTTCAAGCTCCCTCTGCAACCTAAATGCAATGATTTAAATTTAAATTTGTACAGAAGTTGTACAGAAATGTGACCTAAAGGGCAGGATGTGCAGGAAGCAAAGGGGCTGTAGCAACACCTGATTTTAGATTAGAGTTCAGATGAAGGAAAGGGCATGAGTTCATGCCCTTTCGCCCAGTTTAGCAATTAGCCTAATCCCTGGCTAAAATATCCTCCTTGTTGACTGTAGGGTATGTTGTGGCTTGTATCACTGTCACTGTAAATTATATAAGCAAGTTTTAACATCATGCCTGAATGTGTCCACTGTTGTTGGCCAAGTAGAAAATACACACTAAAAGAAATGTATTTTAAAAGAAGCCTACTATACTACTAATGAATTATATAATGAATTATGAAATATATATATATATATATAGGTTCCTACATCGAAGCATTTTTTAAGAAATGGCTGTATAACATTGCATTCTTAGCACTTTCCTACATGCATACCATGCCTGTTGTGTTGAAACCATGGCAACGACATGCAAACAGGCCAGACTTCTGAATGTCACAATGTCCGTGTTTTGTGAGGCTGTGGTTTGCACATGCATATAAGTAAAAACAACAAAAAAAAGAAGTTGTATTCTGTGACAACAGTATGCAATACAAATATTATGAGGTGTATACAATTCACCATTGTTCTTAAATATAAAATGAAAACAATTATTATATGTTAGAACTTTATACATAGTTGTCTCCCATATTAAAAAAAAATAGGAGCTGTTGATTAAACCAAGTGACACGACATCCCCTAAGAGAGATTTTGGTGACCCTGTATAAAGTTTGATACAGTGGTTTAGTTTGGCTAAATACAAAGGGACTGTTTACCTTTACAGTTGTAATGTGGGGATTTTCAGCACCCAGTGGAAACCACTTCCTGTTTCTCATATTTTTACAGTGATGTCATAGGTTGTTACTCACCCCTCCCTCCCTGTGCGTTTAATAACTCGCTGTGTTTGGTACATAATCCAGCTAACAATGCCTTTTGCCTTTCTGCTCCTCCTCCTCCCCTAGGTATGGCAAAATTGTATCAACAAAGGCCATCATGGACAAGACTACCAACAAATGTAAAGGTGTGTGAAGTTGTTTTTCCTGTTTACAGCACCACCCTCTTTTATCTCTCCACTAATTAAGAATGTATCAAGAAATCTCATGAACTGCCCTACAGGATTTTCAACACCTCGCTGTAAGAGAGAGACTTCTGCGTGTCCCCAAAATTGGTAGACATCCAGTGTGTGAATTCTATCAAAACATCATGTCATTCAGCAGCTATGCAGCTGTGTCAGCTGATCTGGGCAAGTCAGGAAACAGACAGCCAGACTGCTTAAAGCTGCCTCCCAGCTCATGTTATTTTAAGCCTCAGCCCTTGTCTGTTGGTGTGTCACTGCTGTGGGTGGTTCCTGGGAAGAAGTGGCCGACTCCTCCCTTTTCTGCTGAGTGACAGTGTTGGTCTTAGTCCAGTTCTAGTAGTCTGCCTGTCTGACTAAAGAGGGACTTACTGATTCTCTCTGTTTCTGATGGGATTAAGGGAATGCTTTGTCATTCTCCTCTGGATTATACAGATGCCAGTTAATCGAAGGCTCTCAATGAAAGGGGACACTGTTAAAGACCTTGTAAAGCTTTGACTGAATTTTAGATAGAAGCCAGAGAAAGCTTTAGCAATAACCTTTTGTTCGACCTTGAGTATCACAAAATTCCCCCATTTCTCTGCTGAAAGAGCCCTGACATGTTCACTATGATTTAGCTTGAATAGGTTAAATATAGCTGCTGCCGTAGAGGTTAGGGACTATAGGTTCACCCTGTTTGTAGCCCCCAGGACAAAGCGCTGACCTGAGCCATGAATGTCACACTGGTATCTGCAACCTCAGCACTTTTCTACCTCTACTTCCACACGCACACATAAATACACACTGTAAACTAGACCTATATAATGCAGAAGTAAATACATACATGTTGTAAAATCACGGTGGAAGATTTTTTATGGGTTAAGAAAGTCTATTAATGTGCTTGACACGTTAATTTCTCTTTGCTGGGATGAGGATTTAACCTAGGCATGACACATAGCTGAGGCTTGTTTTTTAATATAGTCTGGGTGTTTCATCTTTATGTGCTGCTTGTCCCCTTAGGATATGGCTTTGTGGATTTTGACAGCCCAGCTGCAGCACAGAAAGCTGTGGCTGCCCTGAAGACCACTGGTGTCCAAGCTCAGATGGCAAAGGTGAGGCTTCATTACAGTCTAATCCTCATATCAGTCACCCAGTAACACTGTTTCTGTTCCATCTGGCTGCTCAGACAACTTAAACCTAATCTTTGTGGTATTAAATAGCAGTACTGGAACTGGAGCTGGACTGCAGGGTGTATGCTCCCCAACGCTCAGGATCAAATGTGACACCATGTGCTCTACGTTGTTGCAGTTTGCAAGTCTCAGTTTGCTTGTGTTTGCAGTATGCAGCTCTGTCCTTACATGCATTTCACTGTGGTCTGCACAAATAATTCGTCGAGATATGTTAATACAGCCTAATTATGTATTCTCCCAGATTTACTAGTCATACAAAAAGCTAATAGTAGACAGGATGTTGCGGTTTGTGTTCATTAAACTTGAATTTGAACTTGAGTTCACATTGTTAAGTTACTTCTTTCTATTACTACTTCTCTCCTGATGGCATTTAACTGTAGTATTCTAGTGAAACATTTGTTATATCAACAGCATCTGCACCTGCTGCATTCTGAGCTGGTGCTCCATCTTTCTTATTCTCTTGTCTCATCTTATTCCATTTCTTTTTCATTTTCTATAGTCTGTTTGACTCCAATTGTATAATTAATAGTATAGTTAATACTGTTTTAATACAGTGCACATTTGTGCTGCACCACTTTCTTTGTAAATCTGTCCCCAATGATTAAATGTGCATCATCAGCAAATGTTCTGATGTGTTCATATGGTTTATAATGTATATGTGTGTTTCCATGCAAGTGTTGCTTCCATATATATTATTGATCATTCCTAAAGGTATTCTGTCAGTGGTCAGCTCTCAGCCAGGCTTTAGAAGGGTTTCAGATGTGAGTGGCACCACAGGTTAGACTATAGGCTGTAGAGAATGGTGTTGTCGACAACGGGGTTACGTACCAGAGAAATACTCCTGCATGTGGACCTGTCTCTACAGTATGCCTGTCCAGGAGTGCGACTAGTCTTTCTGTTCCCTCCAAAGCACCATTACACATACATTTGTGATTTATTTTACTTAAACCTCAGTTTAAAACATTGTAAAACATTGCAAGAAACACATATAAACACATTTCTCTTCTTCACTGCACATGTTGGAGATATACTGGAGTGGACTGTCAAGTTAAATAAATAGTTTGAACAGTTGCTTTAATGGTGCCTAGTGTTGTGTGGACAGACAGTCATTCAAGATTTCAGTACGCTACAAATGCAGCTTTATTTGTTCACTGTATAAAACAGGAGATTTTCACATGAAGAGCTTAAAAGTAGAACTGTATTCCTTTAGGCATCTACACTCTCTGACATTATAAAAGGAAGTAAATAATTGTGTGTTGTTATGGTAACACGAACCAGTCGAGGGAAATTAGTTCCCATACAGCACCGAGCAAGAACCCTTGGCCTCATTTGCCTGTCTGGGGATCTGTGGAGCTTCTTGACATGCCTCTGTGCACTCATTTTACTTTTTTTTAATTAAAATAGAGCAGCTTGCAGGGGAATGCCAAAGTTTAATCTTTGTATTGTGGAACGCAAATGCCATTATAAAGTGTGAGCCTTTCACTTCAGCTTTATTCTCTCTATTGCTGAAGCTTGTTTCGGCTTAATGGACTCTCTGACAAAGGTCCCTTTTCCTGTTTTTATCTGCCCAGGCACCCTTCAATGGGCTTTCTCTCATTATTATTTCAAAGGCAGGTGGTGGGAAGTGGCCAGATAAGCGTTTCCCTTCTTTTTACCTTATGTTATTTCAATGAATGTCTTGTGATACTTGTGCTTCACTTTCTCTGTAAACATACAAGAGATTTGCCTTATGAACTTTTGTATAACAAGTTATTATTATAGGCAGAATTGTATATCATGGAATTCTTTAAGATGGATTTATCAAGCTGAGTGGACGAAATGTATAGAGGAACTACATTGTTTTATATTGTTTCTTGTGACCAGAAAGTACTATAGCACTATAAATGTGTTTGGGGGAAGCAAAAGAGCAGCACATGCCCAACCCTCATTACCACCATTGCAGTGGCCTTGAGGAACACACTTTATGTCCCAGTGGAGCTGCTCATTGGTCAACAGATAAGACTCAGGCTGAACTGGACACCTACCAGGTGTGAATGTGGAGTAGGTTGTTCCTAAAAACAAAACATAAACACAAACCTAATATACTCTGGTTAAGTAAAGGTTAAAAGTATATACATGTTGTATGTACATATTAGAAATTGCATTTTACATTCTATCCTATTTTCCAATTTGAATCATCTATATAACAACATTTTTACAGCATCTTATACTCCCTGTCTCTGTAGTAAGGCAAAGAGTAACACCCTTTCTTCAGCCACATCTCTCCTCCTCATCGTTTCATCCACAAGCATACGTCAGTCACAGTTAATGACTGATTGATGGGTGGTGCCCCGTTCAAAACCTCACTGCCTCATTGCCATATGTCTGTCCCTGCATTTCACTGACATACAGTTGTTTTTTTCTTTTAAATGTCTCCCAAGTGATGACAGAGACAATATTAAAACAGAGGAGCTTTTATGGTAGCCCAACTGCATCAATAAAACATGTGGTCATTCACCTCACCCTCAAACCCTCTTTGAATAAGTCATGTAGCACGATTTCTTCTGGAACAGAAGCTATGTGACAATAAAGACCAGTTCAAAATCCATCTTGCATAAAGTAATTAACTCAAAATTAATGAGCTTCTTAATTCAGTTGCCTTCCCAAACATTCATTCATTGTCCTCTTAATTCTGAAATGCAGATTTTACTGTCAGTGTATTACTTTTTGTAATCCAACCAGTCCCTGTAGCTGACTCTGAACAACAGAACGCTGATGAATATTAATGGTGAGAGGCCGCTCCCCAGGGTCTCATGGCTGTGTCTTATGTTTCTGCTGATGCTGTTAAAATACAGCAAGAAATCACCTGATGTGAGGCTTAAGCTGCTGTGGGCTGCATGCAGATCTCTATTTATCACTGCTCATAGTGACCCGTTACTACCTAAAAAGCAGAGATAAGCAAAGACTTGATAACCCCATTACTGAGGTCCATATTAGAAGTCTATTAAATGTGTAGCCATTTCTGGAGATACATTATATGGAATCACAAGGAAATGTCACCTTCCTTCCTCTCTTCCTCCCAAGGCCAGTATAATGTGATACTACAATGGAATGTTTTTGTGTTTTCCAGATTTTAGTGTAATTCCATTGCCTCTGGCATCTTCTTTCTCTTTTTTTTCACCATACAGCAACAAGAACAAGACCCAACAAACTTGTACATCTCCAACTTGCCTTTGTCTATGGATGAGCAGGAACTGGAGAACATGTTAAAGCACTTTGGCCAGGTCATATCCACACGCATCTTGAGGGACTCCTGTGGAGGCAGCAGAGGAGTGGGCTTTGCAAGGTCAGCTCCTTGTGTAATTTATTGTCAATGACTCATGGTCCTAAAACAATATTAGGAAACTTTTTTTTTTTTTCACTGGCTGTGGCTCAGGAGATAGAGCGAGTCTTCCACTAATCAGAAGGTTGGTGGTTCAATCCCCAGCTCTTCCAGTCTGCATGTCGAAGTGTCCTTGGCCAAGATGCTGAACCCCAAATCCCTCCTGATAGCTGTGCTATCAGTGTGTGTGTGAATGTTAGTAACCTTTAGAAGAGACCCCTTTACGGCAGTAAACAGGAATAGACCACTGTTCTACAAGCAGCAATATCCTCTTTACAACATTAGGCAACAATGTCTATAGGAAATGTATTTATTTTGAGATACAATAGCGCTAACGATACCAAAGGATTGAGATCCAGGCTAACAATGATACCAGCTACCAATGATAAAGCGATGTTTAAAAATTTAACACTCTTCAAATTGTTAAAAAGGATTTAAAACACACTGGGTTTTGCTCAATGCTCATCGTAACATCATCCAGTTCAATGAAGATGAGTTTCAGTTTCAGTCTAGAATGAATACTTAAAAACAAATGTTTTAGATAACAACAGAGAATGAGCAGTTTGTGTATGAACAAATGTAAACCCCTATTAAACATAGTTTCACTATGACTGGGTGATTTGTATTTATAGTGGTGTGTGCTTCTGCCAGTCAAACTCGCATAACCTGATGTTTGACTGAAATACCTAACAGGGCAGATCAGGGTCATGATTGACGAAACAAAAATATCATAATGCATCATAGGAATGTTTGTGTGTGTGGGTGTGCACTAATAGGCCTGTGTGGCCCAAATGGAGAGGAAGTTGATTCCATAACATCTGTACACTGTGGGCTTGCACTGTTTTTTATTGAACCACCACATCCACCCACCCAGAAAGGAAGCAGGTCAAGCAGTCTAGGCAGAAAGAACCTGCTCACCCTTGTTACTGCAGTTATCAGTGATGTAGTAATGCTTATGTGTGTCTTTTGTAACTTCAGGATGGAGTCGACTGAAAAATGTGATGCAGTCATTTCTCACTTCAATGGAAAGTTTATTAAGACACCTGCAGGTGTTCCAGGTAAGACATAGGGTATAATTATCTTATATATGCAGGCAAACACTGTAGGCATATAATGTAAAGTCATCTAGTTTAACTGCCACTTGAAAGAAAGTGTGAATGAAAATAACAGCATTTGTCTTGTAAAAACTGTAATGTGTACTGTACAATGTTAATGGGCGGTGGACAGGATGAAGTGGTCAGCCAATTGATTGATGCTTCCAACAGGAGTCAGTGAGTCTCCTGGTAAAGCACTCATATACACTCAGCCCTAAGTGGCAGAGCACAGACAAAGAAAACTGAGAGAGGGAGCTGCTCTGTGTGCCCTCCACTCCCTCTCTAAGCCTTTTAATTGGATTATTAGACTGAAATAGTCTCTGCTGGCCTTGCCTCCTTTAGGAAGGGGAGGGGATTACAGCTCCACAGCTGCCAAATTAGATGTCTGTGTTCCCAGGCTGGCCAGTAAATGAGCACACCCAGGCTTTAGGGAGTGAATGTATAGCAAGCAATGACAGACAGCACTGTGTGTGCGCGCGTGTGTGTGATAGTGTTTGTTTAAGACATACCTTTTGTTTTATTCACTCGCCACTTCTCTCTCTTTAGCACCACCTGAACCCTTGCTGTGCAAGTTTGCTGATGGTGGACAGAAAAAGAGACAAAGCCACAATAAATTTGCCCAGAATGGTCGGGGTTGGGCAAGGGACGGTGACTCCAGGCTGGTAAGTGGATGGAGTGAGAGGTCTTACCAATAAAGGTCAAAACAATAGGATGAATAAAAGTGATGAACAATAGAGAGTGTAACGAATATTACGACATGATGAAAGAGTCATCTAAAGGAAGGAAGAAATTATTTTTGTTGTGTTGTAATCCTGATTATGTTCTCCACTGCTTATTGTAAAGTCTTTTGTACTCAAGGGCACACTCTTTCAGGTTTGGGCACAATAGACACACAATAGACTGTTGTATGGTTATGTGTTGGTGTTGTGTGCTTCAGTTTAGTCGTCAAACTTGTACCATCCTTTGCCTACAGGCTGGAATGACACTCACATATGACCCCAGTGCAGCTGCTATGCAAAATGGGTAAGCCACAACAACATATCTATACATTGTACTTAACTTACTTTGTTATTTTTTTTAAATACACTTTATTTTCTGTCCACAGATTTTTTCCAGGAGCATACAGCATTTCAAACAGGATGATAGCTCAGGCTTCCGTGTCTCCTTACATGTCACCGGTTTCAACATACCAGGTTTTATTCCTTCTCTTCAATGATGATACTGTAATACAATGACAACACAACATTTCATTCATCAGTTTTACATGTAGTAACTTAGCATTTGTGGTTATAAACCATCACTATTGAGAAACCAAAACATTTTGGAGGTATGGCTTAAATGCAGTATGTGACAAAGGGCATTGTGGTCTTTCATGCTTGCTGCTGTGCCAATCGCATTAGCATGTGAACTCTGGAAATGGCAGCAGACAGTGTCAGTGTGTTTACAGAGTGTGTTTGTGTGATGTTCCAGGTGCAGAACCCATCCTGGGTGTCTCATCAACCCTACATCATGCAGCACCCGGTAAGAACAAAGTCTCATCATCCCAAGTGTTTCGTCCCTTTCTAGTTTTTTTTTTTTCTATTCCATCAAAACATTTCCCTCTGTGGTTGTAACAGAATCGAAACATATTTCTGTACACAATATGGGAGAGTAGTAGTTACACATAAGGTGACACTGATCCTTGAGGATTTATAGCACTAAAGTGTTTGTATAGGAATATAAAAACGACTGCTTTTCGGAGAGGCTATGCAAAACTGTGTATTCGATGACAGATGCCGAATATTTTTAACAGATGGGTTTGAATTGAGAGAGAAGAGTCCTTTCTTGCTTTGAAAATAAGCCAGCATAGATGAGAAAACACTGCTTGATGCATCAGGCCAAGATGCTTATAGACAACTTGCTCAACTTGTGACTATTCTCCTTCTGCTGCGGGCATTAGATGCGAAGTCTGAGATTTCTCAGTTTCTCTTTCCCTGAAATCCAAACCCACATAACTCATTTTGCATTCATGTTCTAGATATTCTGCATAATATTCTTAACAGTCTATTATCTTTATTTAATATATTTTTAGGGAGTATTTTAGTTTAGTGACTAATGCGTGTATGCTCCAGCTGTATACACTCCTCTCATCTGCTCACACTTATCTTCCAGGGTACAGTGATATCACCCTCTATGGACCCATCTATGTCACTACAGCCTACTTCAATGATGGCCCCACTTGCACAGCAGATGAGTCACCTCTCTCTGGGCAGTGCAGGGACGGTGAGAGAACTCTGCATGGGATCAGATATAATAAGATATAATAAGTTCACACATTATATTGATATGAGAATAAGGTGTTACCTCATTAAATTGTAAAATATATAGATTATGAACATGCACTATATATGACGCTTTTTCTCTCTCCTTCATTCTGCAGTTTATGGCCGCCAACACAGCTATGCAAGGAGCATATATCCCACAGTATGCACACGTGCAGACATCAGCTGTTCCTATAGAGGTACGTGCATTAACAGCACAGCAGCCTGATGTGTGTAAAACATTATCCTCATTTAAACAGCTCCCAATGGCAGTAGCAAAGAATAAGGGTTATTTTACTCTCTCTTCCAGGAAAATGGTGCACAATCACAAGTGGACTCATCTGGCAATCATTCCCCATATTCGTACCAACAAACCAAGTAGTGCTGAGGTAACATTTGGGCAACAGCTGAAACAATCATGTCTTGAAATGCAAATCTCTACACTGTTTTGTACAGGTTCTGCAAATGTTTAACTGAGACTATTTTTGGTATCATTTTCAGAGAGATTATCTGAGTTCACCAAATGATTCAAATTATATATAAAAAAATGTTTTGAAAAAGTTTTTATTTTCATACTAGAAAACGTTTATTTTTTACCAAGGATTGCCACAGGATACAAGGAAGAATCATGTGACTACATGTTCAAAATGCATGATCGTAAATATGTCTTTTGTTAATATTTCTAAATTTCTTTTTTGACATTTTGAAAATGATGTTTTTTGTGCTTGCTGTGTGAGTGTTGCTATGGTGAAGTGTTAAGTGTTGTTTTTGTGTAAAGTGATTTTCTTAGTACTTTGGATTGATCTTGCTATCTGATCAAAATTTGCCTTCGTAGTTTTGATACAGTAGCTGTACAGACCACCACAGAGAACGGCAATAAGCAAAACATGTTGAGAGTTATTGCCTTAGGAAATTAGCTATGTAGGAGATTTTTAATTGAAATCCATGTGGTATTGATTTTCCCCACCCAAAAAGTATAGAAAAATAGAAAAAAATCTTGTTCTGAATGAAATGATTCTGATGATTTTCTTGGATGTAATATTTATTTAGTAAAAAGACCTCACATGTTTCTGGATGTTGGGATGTGTTGGGTTTCTGCTAAAAGGTCAGCTTTTCAATCTTGCCTTTTTGATTACTTGGTGTTAGTAGAATAGCCGAAATTGAACTTGGTGGGGTGGGGGAATGGGAAAGGACAAATGAATTTTGTTTGTCTGTTGTGTTTTTTATCTTTTTGGTTGATGTTAATTGTTATTTTGATGGGGTGTGTCTTTTTCATTTTTTTCGAAAAACTCACAGCAAAACATAGACTTATGATTGTGTAAAAAGAAAAACTCATCAAAGCCTTCTAGTAGAACTTAGGCAAAACTTCAGCGATTTGTGGGGGGGGGACTATTGTGGGGGGATATCGTGAATATATGTACTTTATTGCACCTCGCTCTTCGATAGGAAACAAACAAATGGACACTTTCAATTGTAGTTTACTTCACCAAAGATTGTGAGCTAGTAGACTGAGGAAATAGCATCATTTGTCTCTTTAACAAGAACATAAATGACTCTGCAAACTAGATTGCAGTTTGGACAGTGTGCCTTTTTTGTACATTCTGTTTTTCATTGGTATTACTACAGCACGGACACACACAAGCATGAAGGAAGGCCTGGATCCAACAAGTGCCACAGATTAATTTCATACTTAGAAAAAAACAGAAAATGCTACATTATACTAAAGATTAAGTTAAAAAAGAAAAAAAACATTAAACTATGAAAGGACAGTGCTAAAATAGAAATCTGATATTACACAGCACTAAAAAAATAGGATTTTTCTATCATAGTGAATTAAAGCAGGCGTTTTGATTATGGTTCCCTCCAAATAAGCTTGTGATTCGACCTGGTGGTCAGTCAGACCAGTTATCTACCTCAGAGTTTTCTTTCTCCTCTGTACTAGGTCGGGTTAGCAGGTCCAGCCCGCCCTTCCAGACCAAATGCCACGCTCAGGAGCTGGCCACATATAGCTGTTTCCTTATAGGTTGTTTTGAATACTTTTTAATTCAAACCTAATTTTTAATGATGTATTATAGTCATTAGGAGGTGTGACAACATGTTACTATTCATGTTCACACATTCAGTTTTATCGTTTTAAAAGAGCTGCTGCTTTCACAGCAATAGATTCCAGAGGCTGATCTAAGATGTTAAAGACCAACAATGACAACAAAGTGTTGTGGTGTTCACTGGATCTGTGCTCCTTTAAACAAACATGTTTGTTGCTTTGTCTTGGGTCTGGACAAACTCACTGCAGCATTCCCTCTGTAGTTAACTAGGTTGTGCAACGATTATACTTGAGATTTCTGTGTAATGCCTGAGACTGAGAAATAAAGTCTTGTGAGGTTTATGCTGCTAGTGGGGTCTGAACCAAGTGCCATAGTATCTGGGTCAAGAGTTGCAGAGGTGCATCCATGAAAAATTGCTCATATAAGTAACCACCATGTTGACAGTCATTAAGTTATATGAAAAAGTTCTAATTTATGAAAAATTTTTATACAGATAGCTTGAGGAAATAAGGATTTTCATAGAGCTATATGAAAGTTTATTGTTGTTGTTGTTGTTTTTTTTTTTTTTTTACTTGTGCCACACAACTGCCAGTGGTAACTTGCATGTACAGTTTAAGGATTTTATTTCCTGTAATTTTGTTTTGTAGTGTATTTTAAAGCCAAAGACATTGTTTTTCTGTAGACTATTGCCTAAGGTTTTATTATTTTCATTTCTTGGACATTTTTGAATAAAATTTTCAAAAGTTTCAACTTTATTCTGCTGTAAGTCTCATCCTTGTTGGTGTGAAGAGCTACAGTTGCAGTTGTTTAGGAATGTCTCTTGGAGCCATTTCTAAACAACTGCAGATTCCAAGATCATCGGTTGATACAATTGTACATAAGTACAATTTATTGGGAGGTATAGCCACTTTGCCAAGGTGTGGAAGAAGACCCAAACTGTCACCCTCAGCTGAGAGGAAATTGGTTCGGATGGTCAGGAAAAACACAGGAACCACCAAGGCACAGACCACATTTTACATGGACTAAAAGGCTGCCATCCAACAATGAAGCCCCAGCTCCAAAATGGACACGTTCAAGCTCGTCTAAAGTCAGCAGCTGACTACATGAATAAAGGCAAAGCCTTCTGGAGGAAAGTTTTAGGGTCAGATTAGAATACGGTTGAGTTGTTTGTCCACATTGCCCAGATGTATGTTTGGAGGCGTAAAGGTGAGGCGTTCCCAATGCCATAAACACTGTTCCAACTGTTAAGCATGGTGGTGGTAGCATTATGCTCTGGGGCTGTTTTGCTGCTAGTGGAACTGGTGCATTGTACAAAGTGGATGAAATAATGAAGAAGGAGGACTACCTCATAATTATTCAACATAATCTCAAACCATCAGCCAGACAGTTGAAAGTAGGACACAACTGGGTGTCCCAACAGGAAAATAACCCCAAATACACTTCAAAGGTGGTTGTGGAATAGATAAAACAGGCTAACATTAAGTTTTTGGAATGGCCTTCCCAAAGTCCTGACCTCAACCCTATCGAAAAATTTGTGGACCATGCTTAAAAGTCGAGTCAGGGCCAGGAAACTAACAAATGTCATTGAACTCTACCAATTCTGCCAAGATGAGTGGTCAAATATCCAACTAGAATTCTGCCAGAAGCTGGTTGATAGCTATCAAAGGTGTCTGCTCATGGTGAAACTTGCTAAAGTACATTCACCTAAATATTAGGTGTGCTGTAAGTATATTTTTGACCCTGTGTGTATAATTTTGGCCCTGTGTTGATTGCACAAAACCCCAAATGAATTAAAACTTGTGAACCAAATTCTTTTTATTTTCTATATAGTTTTACAATCATTCTGCCCTAGAGAAAAGACCAGTTCAAAGAAATTATTGAAAACCCAATATTGTCATGATATTCATGTCCATGATGAGTGTTTGTAAACTTCTGACCTTAATAACCTGTTTTCCCTTTGAATTGAACTTTTTGCTAACCTTGTATTGCTTAATTCTTGAATTACGTGAACACAGCGTGTTGTGTATGTAGTCTAGCTAGCATAATAGTTGAACAATACATTTTTTTTTGGGAGCTTGGCTATGGCTTCAAGGGCTGAAATCCAAGCCCTGTCTCTCACTTTGTCTCTCACATTCAAATTTATGTTTAATAGAGAATCTGGCCTTATCAGAATTTGGAAAACATGGCATCCATCGTCAACTGCTTATCCTGCGTACAGGGTCGCAGGGGGCTGGAGCCAATCCCAGCTGGCATTGGGCGAAAGGCGGGGTACAGGTCCCCGGTCCATCACAGGGACTCACACAGACGAACAACCACCTAAGTTTAGGCCGCGTGTCTTTGGATGGTGGGAGGAAGCCAGAGCACCCAGAGAGATCCCAGGAAGAACATGCAAACTCCACACAGAAAGGCCAGGGCAACCACGGTTTGAACCCACAGCCTTCTTGCTGTGAGGCGACAGTGTTAACCACTGCACCACCGTACCACCCAGAAAACATGGCATATGTTAATAATTTACCTTTTTTTGAGACAGCTTGAAAAGAATGTCTTGCTCAATTTATTTTTAAAAAACATATGCAAGATTGGCAAACACAAAGAGATATGCAGAAAGAAATGTATGGTTACATGTACAAAAACAAATGTCACAATATATCAGTGGTACTCCGTGTTTTTCCTTTGAATGGTTTTAGATTAAAGCTTTTTGAGCCATTCTCTGTAGGCTGAGGTTCAAAAATGGAAGAAGGAAAGGACCAGCATCTGTTAGTTCCCCATTTAAGCAACATCTGACAAAGGTCACTTTGCTGTCAGTTATCTCCTAGATAGAAGACTCCATTAATTCGACAGTGACCATCTCCTACCCTACACATACATTCAGATATTCACTCAGTGAAGTAATGAGACATTATTATCAGGCAGTTCCAGTCATCTATGCCATCAATTATAATAACTGAACTCAAACTTGGAAATGTATTCGGCAACCGCAATCCAGTGAGCAATATTAATGCAGTTGTACTGCAGCTCTGTTGAGTTGGTCTACCAGTATTTACCCATAGGGTGAGGACCTGGTAAGGACTATATAAACACTGTCACATGGTATTGTTGACAACATGCATGGCCTGGACAGGGTGAGTTATGGGTATCAGGAGGTATGGCGAAGGGTGGGTTGATGGGGGCGTCTGTGAGCAGGCCTTGCCACGGCAGATGGGTCCCCACGGTATCCTGCGGGGTGTTGTGCCACCCTACGGGAAGCCACCAGCTCCAGACGAGGAGCAAAACTCACGCTCCAGCTGTCTGTGTTTGTTGTGCCACCTGCGCCTAGAAGCAATGGAGCTGAAACCCCCTCCCCCTCTGAACGACAACCATCCTGCCCCCAAGGCTCTCCGCTCCCTTACCTGCTCAGGTACGAAGCATCCTACATCCATACCCCTTTTAAAGCCTGTGGCTATAAAGGGAACGGCTTTTTCCTAAAAAAAACAAAAAGATGCTCTAAAGTTAACTACAAACCATACTGATAATGTAGGCAGCACTGTTGTCTTATTACAGGACTATTTATCAGACCAGACTGATGCTTAACTAGAAATTTTAATAATAAGAGAGTAGATACAGGAGGGTGGACACAACAATACAATATAATGCAATCGATTGCACTACCCCAGCAATAAACACAACCTTTGCAAATCTTACAGTCTTTAGTTTTTGTTGCGACAATTATAGAGAGTAGTTGATTCAACTCTGTGATACTTTTTGATGCCATAATCTGTCCAAAATAATAGAAACACTTCAGAATATAATGCAACATGATACAATGTATACAGTATGTTTAGGGCAACAATAGACAATTATTTTCATTACCATATCATTTAGCGATTCTGTAGTTTCGGCTCTGTGCTGACAACACATAACACACTGATTTTTTTCACATTCATATATCATTTGCATATTTGAACAAGTTTATTGTTTACAGGTTTAGCAAGAGGCCTGGTCCTGACTAGTCACAGGGTGGTACGTACTAAAAACATACCATAAAACACTCAAGTATATGGCTGTAAAAACTGCTCCAATAAACTGGGTAATGAATGCAATTAAAAATGAATATGTCATTTACTGACTGCAAATTAAAAGCCTCATACATATCACACAGACAGGTATGAGGTGGACATTTCAAAAAACGTTTAAATGTGGAGCATCAGCATAATTCTACACAATTAACCATAACATCAGAAAAATAAGTCAATGATTACGATGGCAACTTACAGAGCACAGTCTCTGTAGAAAACAATGCAAATCAGGCATGTAACCACATTGAATCTGATGAACACTGTGCGTAAAGCGCCACCTAGGGGTCCCCATGTGTAAAATAATCTGATCCTCGAGGACTGCAGTTTCTGGACGTAAATACAGCGGCTGAATTACCAAGGACGCTTTTTCAATTAGCCTTTAAATTGACATTAACTGTCAAAGATTTGTGTTATTAAATCGCAGATAATAATAGAGTTCAAATTGCTCTTGTTTTTAGCGTTTAGTTTTATCAGTGCAGGCGGGTGTGTTTACACTGTTATTACTGTGTTATACGGTGTGCAAGTCGTGTTTGTGAGCCGCTGTGTAGTGTATCTGTGTGTGGGTGGGATCTCGCTCACGTTGCCTGCGGACGCTTGAGTCGTGCAACAGAAAAGTAGTTTCGTGCATTCGCCATACTACCTGACTTTTTGGGGGGGTCCTGGCTGTCATGGAGTCTCTGAAGAACAATCGCCGTTCCCGATCAGTGTTATTCTGCGTCTTTGTGTTGTGTATCCAGCTGCAGTTGAGTTTGACGGGACGTAAGTTAGGTTTAAAGAGTTTAACACTGAATCTTCGCTCACAGCTACATAAACGTGATATATTCTGCTGTCAGAGTTACGTTTGTTCACAGCCGTTGAATTTAGCATTCCGAAGTCCTGCGTTAGTATAACGTTACTCTTAGCTTTGCTCTTTGCACTTAACTTAATGCTTGTTTATTGTGGGGGTTCTCTCGGGAAAGTAGTCGCATTAACGTTAAATGTTATGAACCAACTTCCCTAAATGTCGACCCTGCTGTTTTGCATACGGCACACTTAACTTTTTGGACACACTGTACGTGCACGTAAATTACGTTAAAAGTTGTGTGCTTGCCTATGTTGCGAAACGCAAATCAAACATTAAAAAATACGTGTTTTCCCCTTGGGATCAGTGTATTGCACGACAGAAATCTTTAGATTTTGCCTGAAGGTGTCTAATCATGGCTAATTTGCAAAAAAATGGGACAAATGTCCCTTTACATAGACTATATTTGTCGGACTGTAACTTTATGTGGAGCAATAATGCCAATATAGTCATTAAGTAAGTTTGTTAATAACAAGTATAACACTGCTACAAAGATGAGACACCATAGATGAACTGGCAAAAGTCAGACACATGTGACAGATGTGTCAGTTTTTAAACCTTGAGACAGACAACAGAGCTCCACCGAGGGGGAAATAATCTGTTCCCATATATGTGGTGCAGCAGTCAGGAAACTACAAGGAGAAAAGTCTAGAAAAGCATGACCATTTGGCAAACATAGACACAAACTGCACGGAAAAAGAGGAACAGCGGTCACAACGTGAAACAAACCAAGTAGTTTCAACTGTACAGACGTGGTTGTAGAATGGTATCTACTGACATCCAACTGGTTCTACTGGCATCCAACCAAACATGAGGCAGTTGTTGCCTTATCTTAAACGGGTGATTTGGTTATGTTTTGTTTAGTCAGTCCTGTTTCATTGGTTTCTTTGTTAAATCTCTTCCTGTAGCTTCTAAATCCATCCCACAAAAATGCACACAGCTAAAAGAAATTTCAATCAGGTGCCATATTTTTCCATTACCATGTTTTGTCCCATGATTTTCCTCAGACTGCCCTGCAGACCGACGCACCTGGGTGTCGTTTAAAGACAAATGTTACCACTTTGTCCATGGAGAAGAAGACAAAATCAAAAGCTACACTTTTGAGAGTGCAAAAACCCTATGCCGAGGATTTGGTACTTGAGACATTTTAATGTTTAAATATTTTGTTAAAGACAAAATGACAAATGGTCTGTTTTCTCATTGTGTGTGTGTGTGATTCGGTTGTCATTCATTGCTATGCTTTTTGTAGAGCTTTTGACCATCCAGAGCGCTGAGGAGAATGACTTTGTCATTAAATATAGCCCAGAAGTGTGGAAAGGCACTGTGAACGTGTGGCTGGGAATGTATTATGACACAAACAGTAAGTATCATGTGACCAGAGGACAGTGAAAACATGCTGACTAACTTCCATAGCATAAAATCTGATTGTCTATGAAAAAGGAAACAATTCAACTTTGTTTTAATCTTAAAGGGTTTTGTTTCAGATGTTTGTTATACATATACTGTATAGATATATTGATCATTTTGTGTAAGTGATCATTTATCTCTTTGTTGAGCTTTTATAATTGTACTCTGTACTCTGCTTAAAAGTGCGTGAAAGTTTATTCTTGAACTTGGAAACAATAGTTTGACTAAAAAATCTTAACTCAAGAGTGAAGATAACAATCTTAATGTTTGATTTAGAGTGTATTTAGCACAGTCTATCTGCTACTTTTAAAGCGTGACAGCGCCAACTCATCCTTGTCTTTCAATCCTGGCACAACCTCAGGAATGATTTTTTTTCTTTTTATGAAGCAGTCATTGGAGGCACCGTGGAGGAAGCTAAGATACCAGAAACTCAAAATCTCATTTCAGTTAGTGTGAATCCTGAGGATGGAAAAGATGCACATTGCCTGTGAAAGTGGTTGGTATTCCCACTGGCTGTCATGCTGGAGTACTGATTGGTGTCTTTTGTCAGGTGACAACATGATGTGGTTCGGTGACGACCCTGTGCTATTCACTAACTGGGAGGACAGCTCTCCATCAGACCTTGTGCCCTTGGAAACATGTGTCTCTCTGCACAGCAACACGGGAAAGTGGGAAAATGTCAGCTGCCTGGAAGAAGTGGAGAACGGAGTGGTCTGCGAGACAGATCAGAGTAAGATTAAAGTCTTTTTTTTTTCCTCAATGCAAAATATCAATCAGTCAATACGTCTATTAGACCTTTTGGTATGTTATTAATCTACCAGAGTTTCTTAACGTGACTGATCCATGAGTATGTAGCGAGGATTTTAGTTAATGTGTCTCTAGAAAATATAGTTGGGATTGTTTTCCACTTGGCTCACTGTGTTGTTTTTTTTCCTCAGAAGAAGAGGTAGCCAAGCAGAGTAAGTCGACCTTTGAGCTTTTTTTCGCATTTTCTTTACCTATTCCTGTGTGCTTTTTTGTTGTTGTTTATAGTAGTGACTTTCCTTGCATTGTTACTTGTCCTCCTCAGAACCCAACGCACTGCTGTCCGCCCTGGTCATTCTCAGCGTGGTCGCCATCATGGGAGTCTCAGCAGTTATTTGGTTCCTGCACCAGAAGCACAATCTTGGCTCCACTATCCTCACGGCATTCGAGTACCACCCTCCGTTCAGAGTCCTGGACACAGACCAGTCCTGCCTGGTGGAGGCTGAGGAGACAGACAGCGTGCCATAGGAGAACTTTCTCTCCTTTCCACATGGGTGGGTGTTCATGCAAAGAGAAGTCCACTAAAAAAAACAGTTGCGGGGGTAGTTTTGGGTTATACATGTCAACGTTATGACTTAGAATAATGTAGTGTGGTTGTAAGAAAACTGATGCCAAGCTTTCTCCTCTACTAACCTCACTGTGGCACATAAACATCTTTTGTTATCTGTACTAACATGAATTATAAGTAATTTTTTCACATTGGTGCATTTTCATTAGCAACTGTAGCCTGGTCAGCTGTGATTTGATCAGGTTATTATCAGGCACTACACATTTTTTTGATAACTTTTGGGATGAATATTTCTCTCCTGCATATTAGATATAACTTACCATTGTTTTTTTGAAGAGAGTGGAACTAAAAGCTTTCATACCTTTTGTGTGCAGACAGAAATGTCCTGTTGCAGGGCTACTCCAGCGACTTAGTATTGCATTCCCATAAGCTTGGGTGACTAACAAGAGGCAGATTGAAAAAAAATCGGTCAGTTTATGTAGTGCAGAATGAGACATCCTGATGTGTTTTTTTCATGAAATGTATCAAGCTTAAAAAATGCTGTATTCTACATTTCACATAATGCAACCAATCATATTTGACCCTCACTGCCCGATAAATGTTGCACGCACCCAGTTTGTAATGCAGGCTTTGAGTTGTACATTATTAGTCTACAACCATGAGATAACCCTAAAGACATTATCTGGGGTTATTTTCCCAGACTTTAGAACTATTGAAATTATACAACCATGATGAGTAAACTGATCTTTTGTGTAAAATCAGAGTGGCCCTTTTTAAGCAGTATTCACAGAAACAGGAATGCTTGATCCGAACAAGAGCCCGGCAAGAGTGTGAGCAATTGCCTTGTTACTCCATGCATGTAAATGTAGCCAGTGAGGTAGATTTGCACAGTCCATATTCTTTCCTAGGTAAAATAAATTCAAATGGAAAGCTGTCCTTAACCAATACTGCCAGAGAACGTCCTGACCGATTTCCCTGCATTCTCTCCCTGGCTTTAGATGTTATTGTGTCAAGGTGCGAGACTAGCCAAAATATAGCCAATATAGCCAGTAAAGCTAGATTTAGTTTTCAAAAAACACTGATTGAACTCTTCATTCATTCCAGGATCCTTTCAAGATGGCTGTCATGAAAATAATCTACATTCACAGTTCCTCTGCCCTTTATGTACTTTTTATCTGGTCAAAAGATAAATATGTATTTTTGGGGTTTATATTAAGAATTCCCTTGCTGCCCTATTAAACCCAATCTTGGCAGTATTGTTTTATCATTTAGTTGACATGATTTTGGTGTTTGAAATAATAAATCCTCCAGAGACATTAAAGACAATCTGTGGGATAGATATATTGCAGAATTATGTTTTCAACAGCATGAATGCTTTGTGCAATATTTGAGATTAATTTGTGAGAATCTGAGCCCTCGTGTCGTTTTTCATAATAAAATATGTTTGACAATAAGAAGAGCTTGCTTTTGTTTTTGTTTTTTAACTAATATGACTCAGAAAGTTCTATTAGGCAGTAACAGGACACATTTCTAGTAGTCTGCCAACAGTAATATGTCAACTTCCAGCCATGGGTTGTCCAGCGGTGTCAGAAAGTAAAAAGTATTATTTCTCTCTAAATAGAACATTTCTGCTATATATATATATATGTCGATGCATAATTGAGGAGAAAAGGATGAATTAGGACACTTAAATTGGGGTTTCAGAGAGGACATCTAAATCATTGTCATCTGAAAAATGTCACTCTCTCCAAATGTCCAGTGGCTCTGTTGACATCTCAGTGTGGGCCAAGATGAAACAGAACTGAGCAAAGGCAGCAGGAAATCTCACCCCCCCCCCCCCTTCCCATTCATACACATCTAAATTTAGACTTCCAAGAAGTCTGCCATCTAACAAATTCTCTTTAAATATTGGCTTCATATGCCTCTTTTTTGTTGAGTTGTGTCTTTCTTGATGATTTTCACATCTAGTTATGAATAGTCAAAGGCACTTGTGGACTAACATTTATTGATGTAGCACACTAATAGGACAATAACAATAACGCTTTCCTCGGAGCATTCCAGGTTATTTCTAGATATGGCCACAAGGTGGGACAGTGAATCACATTTCTGTCAAGTCTGTTCTCTGACATTGCAGGAGGGAACATGGAAGATTATCAGTTTGACAGTGTTGTTATTGGACAACAATCAGAAAAAACACTGATTTGAAAAAATTACCCTGTTGCACTTTGCTGTTACACTGTTACATTTTCGAGGAAGTCTAGAGGTAACTCATATCTTTAAACATGAACACAAAATAAATAGAGTAGATGTAAAATTGCAGAATGCTTATCTTGTCTCCAAGCTGAGGTGAAAGTCCTCTTATTGATTAAGTAAGTCATTTAGGCTCGCTGTGGAAGACAACTATTAACATGCTATGTGAGATAAAGGTCCAAAGACCAGAGTGGGGCCGGAGAAGGCCAGGGCTGCACTGTGGGGTAGGGGCTCTGTGTGGGCTTTTAACTGTTATAGTTAAAATGCCCCATATTGTCTATACTGAGGCCTATATTGTCAAAAATGGTGTATGAGGAAAACACAAAATTCTGATTTTCATGATTTACTTTACCTATGTACAGCCCCTCAAATGTACAAATTGGGCCTTTAAAAATGACCTACATGGTTAGATTTCAGCAGATATTGATTTTATATTTCGAAGAGCAAAGACTTATTCAGGCTCATGAATATGCAACATATTCAACAAGTATAATTTAGTCTTGATAAAATAGCAAAAACAATTACTGTGAGTAAGCTTCTGTTTGAATGCAACTCTGCATGATACATTTAGAAAACTAAGAGTGTGATCGTAGATGTTCATTTCTGGTCTGGTTCCAGGACTTAATGGCCCTCATCTGAAAAAATGTTTTAGCGATTCAAATTGAATTAGTTAAGACGGAATAATGACGTGAAAACAAAACGGCAATTCACTGATTATCAGACTGTAAAAAGTCTGCTGAGCCTACACACATTAGTAATCTGTTGTAATGCTACAGAAGTGTTTAGCTGCTGTGTGTCACCAGTTACAACAGAGGAAAACGTGTATTGACATGCAAAAGGAATAATTATGATCATTCTAATTATGATAATTAATTGTAACACTAATTTACTGAAGCCTCATTAGATTTTGTGGAAATAATTGGGTTGAATTAAATTTATGATGAACCTTTTGAGGCATAACCATTTATTTTTTTTACAAACAGATTTCAGCTTAAGTGATTGATGCTGTTGCATCCCTAAAATCATCTTTTCTGTTTAACTGGGATGTATGTATTTTATTATTGTAGAGTGGCTGTTGCCTCATCACAATGGCTGTAAAGGCCTTTTTTCGCTCAAATAATAGCAGATGAATTTCATTCACACATCTGCCACACCGCTGCTTGAAGCAGGAAGAGGTCTACACTGACCCAGAATGACTAATTAAAACGGACATTGGTATGCATGAATAAGAGATGACATGCAGTAGCGTGACAGATGGAATGAAAATGAGAGCCACGCTGGATCACAATCCTGTGAATTACCAAGTTATGTGTCAAGAAAACAATACACAACAGAAAAAAGCAACCCTTGGCTTGCACGTGGACTTCACAATGTCAGAACTCTTTACTGCCTTTCCGGTTTCAAGTCTCTTTTTCTCAGGATTCTACTAGATGTGAGTTATTCCTATTCAGCTCATCCTCTATTTATGTTATGGTCTTTCTTGGAAAAGGTGTCTGTACACAGAAGGGCATGCAAGAACATGCTCCAATTAACAGAGGCCACTATTTAGAGGACTGCTCTCTGGCCGGCCATGCGAGATAAACAGTATTATACTAACTCTATTTTACGTCAGGACGTGCCATACTGCATTTCTTTACCACCTACTGGGCTACAGTAATTTGAATTACATTACAATTTGGATGTGTAAAGTGAATATAACTCACATTGTGTGGCAGCTTTTTGGGAATGGTTAGCTCAGAGTTGTTGAAAACACTGTATCAGAGCGTAGAGTGTAAACTGCATATTCAACACACACAAACAGTTTTTTAGCTCAGACACTGTGCCATTTTCTAAATCAAACGCATGTGCAGTGCTTGGAGGCTTTGGTGTTAAAGGGATCAGAGCATTGTGTGCTGACATGATTAAAATCTGTATTACTTAAATATGTCAGGACAAAATAAGAAAAAATCAATGACAGTGAGTCCAACTCCTGTGCCTCAGGGGTATACTGCGTATTCTGTGGACTGATAGAAAAATAATAATTAAAAACAAAAGCACCATCTTAATTTGTTTTCCATCAGTCTCTGGAGAGATCATCTTTGCTGTGTCTTTGGTATCTCATTATACTTTCTAATCAAGACTCTTTAAAAATGCCTTTAAAGGGGACAGGCTGTTTGCCCTTCCCCCAGCATGCTGCTGCATTGCAGCCATCGACTGCAATTTATTATGTTACAAATGACCAAGGTAGGCTGACATTTTGATTGTACAATGTGAAAAACCCTGGACGGCTTTCGAAGGTGACGCTGCTCTGATCTCTCTCATTGCTCATTCTATCTAATGAAGATTGTCCAGTACAATTTAAAAAAGTCCAGGTATCCTGTGGCTTGGCTGACAAATTTATCAAATCATTTTTCCCCCTCCCTCACCTTGTGTGTTCATCCTGCCAGGCGTGTGTTTCACTCAGTCCAGTCAGTAGCTCCTTTGACTGCAGAATCTAAAATGACACAGAATTAGGGGGGAGAAAAATCAATGAGCACAAGGGATGGTGAACAAGCAAATAAACCTGGTTTCAATTACAAATGCTGATCAAGGATTTTTTATTCCACATCTTTAATTCAAATGTGCCCTTGTGCCTTAATTACTGTATCCAATTAGTTCAACTTCATGTACAGTGTGTATTGGCAAAAAGGTGCAGCGCCATGACTGGAAATCCACTCCACCCCCTGAACACTAACACGTCTTCCTCTTTCAAAAAAAAAGACAACATGGTGCAACGTACTGTAATCACAAGACGTGACTTCAGAAATTAAACAGAGGAGTCCCATTACCTTGACAATAACCTCCCAGAAAAAGCAAATGTTGATCTTACTCTGCAATAATTCATTAAAAAATTATTTATAATTTGTGGAATTTAAACACTGGGGCAACAGCACTACATCAGTCCGCATCAGAGATCCATTTTCATACCGTTACACTGCTTTGATTACATTGTGTTGTAAATGTTTGCTGCTCAGGTTAATGATAAAATGCACCCAATTTCCTGTTGCAGATTGTATGCTTGCTTAATGAGCAGTAACAAGGCAGATGGTAGTCCTTGTCCGACTACTTATTTATGTAATTTCAACCATCAACAAACATTAATGCTTTGTTAATAGTTTCCCAATCCTACTTAAAGAGCCATTTGAACTAAGCAGTCCACACTTCCAGACAATTTTAACAAGAGTCTGGAAAAGGGATGTATAGCATTGATACTTACCATCCTTTAAATAATGAGTTTGAAATTACTTATTGCTCTCACTTTTTCTTCTTACTGCTACTGCATGTAGATTTTTCTAAATTCTGTCTGTTTTGAGGAGTCTGTTTTTGCCAACTTTTGTTTGAGAGACAATACCACTGAACTGAACTGTTACACCAACTAAACAACTGAACTAAACAGAAAAAAAGACATTATGTCAGTCAGTTTTACTTTCAGACATTACACAACACTCACTGTCACTGTCAGCAAAGACCTCTATGGCCTGCATCCTCTTGGTTATTAATTACCGAACAAAGTATGAGTGTGTGTGTGTGTGTGTGTGTGTGTGTGTGTGTGCAGTATTTCTACCACCAAACAGGCAGTCTGTCTGTCCTTTAAATCAATATTACACCAGCACATATGTGACTTATAAAGCTAGGTTATAAATAAATCCTGAAAATGTGTAACATCTGAACATTTAAAAAAAATAGTTGGACTGTGTTGCCATTGTCAGACCAGGGATGTGGTGGAAACTGAAAACCTCCTGAAACCTAAGCACCTGTTGTGAAATACTTTGAGCACCTTTATATGCGACATGCATGCAGTCTAAAGACTAATGGGCAGTGTAAGGTTCTTGTACTAATAAATCATTAAAAAACACCTTTTTGATAAAGCCTGTGTCATTTCATTTATGGTATCGATTTGCACGACGGTTGTTGTTCAACACACAGAGGCACCTCATGTTTTCCCACCTTACAGATGTATATAGTGTACTCGCAGATAGTTTGTGCACTTTGCTGGTTGCAGGTTTTGCGAACAAAAGTTTGCATTGTAGAAGCCTTGAGCTGACGTCACTTCTCGAGTTGCTCGGAGTGAAGCGGAGGAGAGAGTCTCTTCAATCTGCGATCAGAGAGCAACACATTCAGTCACACAAGCTCCCACCACTGGACTCAAGTACTGACCAAGTCTCCATTCATCTCTTTCAGCGTCCCTCAAACAGCGCAAAACCGGGGGAAGTAAATTAACAGTGTTTTTCCATTTCCCTATTTTAAGGAGTAAGGTTAACCGATTTTCGACGTCAAGGTGAGTTTAATTGTCTGTGTTTTGCCCAAGCTAAGACAGTTTGCAACCTTAGGTCGCTAGGTAGTACTCACCAACGTACGTTCAGTGCTGTGTTATTTCGCGAATTTCTGTCGCCGGGTGCTAACAGCTAACGTTAAAGCTAACGTTCTTTTGCTAAACCAGTAGCATCCTTTTGCCTACACTTGCCTCACTGAAGCCGCTCCGTGAGTTCAACACGGCGACGAGGAGAAACAAAAGTTCATATCAAAGTATATAACACGGTTTTCGGATATAAACTTTGGCTTTAACTGGTGTCATGTTGACATTGTAACTTGGTCGTTAAGAAGAGTGTTTGAAGCAGGAGTTGGGCAACTAACGTTAACATGTCACCCGGTACGATACTTGGCAGACACACAGAGACAGGCAGTGCTGTTCAGCCTTGTCATTAGCTACCTTGCAGCATGGATCCTGTCTTTGTTGCCAGCTGGTCCACTCTGCGGGTCCACCGTTTGTGCAGAAACCTCAATGGATGGATCATGAAAACATATACATAAGTTAGCGTGTCAAAATATTAGGTTTGTTTGTTTTTTTTAGCTCGCCTGTTGTAGGAGTGTATCATATAAAAAGTCTTGCTGCCAGTGTAACGTTAATGCTTGTTGTGGGTTTAAGCTTCGTGTGACAACATGAAATTATCAAACAACAGGATTTAATACAGGTGGGTTTTTATTAATGTTTTAGCCTCGTCTTTGCTAACATTAATTGTGTGTTATCAGTGTTAAAGCTGGGGGCTGCCTGCTGGTGTCGTCTCCCCCCTGTATCTTTTTTTTTTTGTTGTTGCTTTCTTCCTCTTAAAGGAGAGCGCAGCTAATGCAGCAGCTGCGGTCTGGGCTGAAATTTACCCTTTGAGATTATGACAATACCCTCCATTTTTCTGCTTTCATATTAACAACAAGGCATTCGCCATCTTGGGGTATTTAAATTAGCACGGTTTATGTAAACTGTTTTTATCCGCAACAAAGTTATGGAACTTTGAAGGAGAAAAACAAAATCTGAATGTACAACCTTGACTTTGGTTGAATTGAAATTGAAAGAAGCACTTTTTGATGATTTATGCTGAGTGAGATTTCAACACTGATTGGTTATGGCTTATGAAACTGCAGTCCAACCACTTTCATGTTCCTGTGATGACATGTCACACATGTAGCCCCCCCCCCCCCGAAATTCAGTTTTAAATCTTTTAGTGGCTGTCTTAATCTGGGTGCCACAAGCACAAACTAGGTTTTATTTCCAGTGCAGAAATCAGGGCATTTTATTATTGTCCTGATTTCTTCCCTGTGCACTGTGGTTTTTATGTTGGGCCTACTTGGCTTACTTTAAATTTTAAGAAATCTAAAAAGTTCTACTACAGTTCTGAGAAGTTCTACATAATGTTACAGACTATTGCAATTAATTACAACCATGCTTGACATTAGTAAACCTCAAAGAAGACATCTTGGCATGTCATGGTAGGAAAGGCACAGGTTTTACTAATAACATTAACATGGCTTCCTTATATTCAAGTGTCCAAGTGAGCCATGACAGTGTTACAGCAGCTAAATGGAATTTAGCCATTATTCATTTTGTTATTTACACCTGTGGTTTTCCTACAATGGCATGTCATAGTTGACTTTTGTGAATTTAACTTGTAATAGGCCCTTTCAAACTTTGTTATCACAGCATAAACTGCCATTTATATACAGGAGTATGTGGTGCAGCTTGATTTATGAACAATTGTGCTCATACAGTGGATAAAGCTTGATTTGTTGGCGTAAATTTAACTAAGCGTCATTTAGTTTGTTTTAGCAGGCATATTTTGTTGGCTGCAAAGCGGAGCTAATTTGTCTTCACAGATATAATTGATAGTAATGAACTAGTGTGTGCCCTTTGTGCACACAGTCCTAAGTGAAATGGCAGTAAACATGATTCCTAGTAAAATCCATCATTTAAATGGCTTCAGTAGCCAAGGCAGCACAATAAATCAGATCACAGCCTTGATGTGTTATGCATGCATCCAGTAACTGCCAATGAATCAAAACACAGGTAGAAGGTCACTAAATTTGCCTCCATATTTATTCAGATCACATGTCCTTGAAAACCTCTGCAGAGAGAACAATGTTGAAGTGATGTGGACTAAGATTCTAATGCAAGCTTTTAACATTGAGAAATCAAAAGAGTCAGCAACTTGGATTTGAATTTTTAAAATATTGCTTTGTTCTTCCAGGCTCCAAATGCAAATGTTGCCCATGGTTACTAAATTACTTAAAGAAGCCCATTTTAAATGCGAGCCCTAGCTGTCAAATAAAAATTTTTTTCAGTTCAATCATTTTTCCAGAGTTTTACTGACTTAATTCCAAACTAATTATTGTGTAACTTAAAATAACTACTTTTCACCTACAACCTACTATAAACATATTACCCTTAAATTCCACTAGCAATACAACTCATATTAACATTAGAGCTGCAACAAATAATCAATTAGTTGTCAACTATTAAATTAATCTGCAATTATTTTGATAAACGATTAATCTGTCCTTTTTTTTAAGTAAAATTCTCCGAATCCAGCTTCTTAAATGTGAAAATATTCAGGTTTCTCTCCTCTACAACAGTAAACTGAATACCACGGGGTTGTAGACAAAACAAGACATCTTACGTCATCTTGGGCTTTGGGAAACATTTTCCCCCATTTTCTGACATTTTACAGACCAAACAACTAATCGATTCATTTAAAATAATCAACAGATTAATTGAAAATGAAAATAATCATTAGTTGCAATCCTAATCAACGGATAGATTTGTGTACATGGGATCAAGACCTACAGTAGTGTAGATTCAGTATGTACGGCGCATACATCAGGGTAAGAACATACATCAGCAGACTAATTTGCCTAATCTTCGCAGGTCTTTAGACTGCGGTGGAAACACACACAACAATAGGCTGAAGGAACCTTTTAGTTTCTTGAAAAGTAGTTCCTGAGACTAAAAGTTTGGTGTGCTTTTGGTGGAAAGTCGGCTATAGATGTAGGGGTGTGATGAAATCTTGTGCCACAAGATCGCACAATATTAAAACGTGATGAAATTTCTCATCAAGGTGAAAAGCTGTCTCACGATATCAGCATGAGGGTGTGAGAGTGAAATTGGCATAGAAGATGCCCACGCTACTTTTAAATTGTTTGTGTGACAGCATTTTGCGTACCTGGTTGAAACAATACAAGGCGACAGAGTCGAATAAAAGATTTTTCAGTCATATGTTTTTTCAATGAAGACTTCTTAAAAATAGTATTAAAATATCGTATTGTCTCATCTTGTGGGCTAAGTGTATCTTCACACCCATAGTTGGAGACCAGATTTGTGTTTTTCTTTTGCTGAATTGGTCACAGAACTCACCATTTCAAGTGGGGATCACATTATCTGTGGCCCCTCTTGGTATGTCCTCACAGAATTTGAGAAGGTCCCCTGTTTATGCTCCTTTGGCCTTTTGAAAGGGCCAAAGGAGAAGGAAAAAAGCAGGACTGCTAATAATTGTGTTTTCACCCATTCTCACCCTGTCTCTTCTACTCTTACCCTTTCCACAAGTTTGCACTCATTAATCAAAGGTGCTGGTCTCCTGCTGAGGCCTGAACAGGTTCATCAATTTGGCAGCCAGCTTGCTGTAAGGAACAGTGCAGAGGCTCTTAACACATAGGCATAAATAAATCTATGGGCTTTATATGCAAGCCCTGAAGGTTAATACTGTATAATTCAATATACCCTCTTTGTCTGTTGTGATTGATGTTTTTAAGCACGTAAGGCTTGATGGGAGTCCCTTTTTGTAGGTCAGTGTTGACACTTTATGATTGGGTGAGCTTGGGGGGAGCAGCACGAGGGAGGTGGATTATTAGGAATATGTCAGGGAGATTACTCTTTTTCACTCATCTTTCTGGTCTATTTTCTCTCCGCCTGGAGATGCTTGTCGCAGTGCTTTATTTGAACCAATGATCCTTCTGAGATTGAAGTCTCCCTGCTGTGTTAATGGGGCTGATGTTTAAAGTGCTAGTGGCCTGGTCTGTTTGTTTGGCTGTTTGGTATTTATTTGCCGCCTTTGCAGCAGAAAATTCAGGGCAGCTGAGAATGAATGGCTCCATATTCATAATTCTTAGTCGGATCATTACAGGACTAATATAAGCCTTTTTTCCAGTTTCTGTTGTAAACCATTCCACTCTCACACAAAGACTGTGCCTCAGCAGCCCCCTTTTTATTGATCCTCATGAATTTAAAATCTGGTCACTCCTGCCACGAACACTTTCCACCTCTGTGCTAGGCACGCTGCTGCAGCCACATTTTACAATGTTGATTATTTTATTTTTTTTACTCAACATTGTAAAAAATATAAACATATCCCTAAAAATGTCAACAATGGCCAAAATCTAAGGCTTAATGAATCCCATTGACTACATTCTTTCCTCGCCAAGCAGCAGGCCATGCCATGAGAGTTTTACAAATCTGTGTCTTAATTATAAGATGTGTACATTTTGAAGACATCATAACAGACCCTACCACTCATATGATGTAAATGTTTTAGCTGAGTCGTTAAAAACGATAAAGTTAAGGTGGAGTAGATTAACACGAAATGGTCTCTGTAATCTCTAAAAGGTGAATCACAACAATTTTGATCACATTGATTCTGATAATGTTTACGTCTGCCAACACACCGTTTCTTTTCACTGCGCAATATGAAAGTGACACTCTTTCTGTGTTGACACTGAATGTTGCCAATAAATGTAATGCCACTAATGTAAAAAGCTTCATATTAACAGGATGTGTAGGAGACTAAGTTGGTGCGTCAAAGCGGAGCGGGTGAGTTTAGGAAATGAAGAAAATATATTAAGATGCTATACAGGACCAGTGTTAAAGGTTCAGTGTATAAGATTTAGTGGCATCTCGTGGTGAGGTTGTGAATTGCAACCAACTTTCCAGTCTACCACTGCCCCCTACCCTTTCAAAGAGCATAGGACAGCTATGATTGCTGACAGAGGACAAAAGGTGTCTCTTCTGAGACAGCAGAGAGTAGCCAGTCAGGAAATGAGGTTTCTTTAGATATACCTTTTTGATAGCGGCAAAAATATAAATAAATAAATACTTTGATAGCATGCTGAAATATATCTCAGTCGTGGCAGCAACAGTTACTCACATAATCACTTCTTCTTTAGTGGTTTTGCCTGCAAAATAAAAGCGCAAGAAGCTTTTAATGCTGTAGTTGGAGTTTGACTTTGAAAAAATCTGAACGACATTAAAAGAGTGCTGCCTTCTTGACACACCTCTGAAAGAGCCGTCAGAGAACGTGAGTCCCCTAAATGTTCTCTGCCTGGAGATACTGGGGAAATGATAAAGCGTC